CTGTGTCTAGTGTCATCACTAACACAATGAAGTGGAATGCGGACCTCTTAAATGAGCTGCTGCCACCAACTCAAGTGAATGAAATCCTTTCAATCCCACTTTCTTCAACAGCCTGCGCAGGGGATAAAATGGTGTGGAACTTGTCAGATAATGGGTTTTTTTTCTGTAAAATCTGCATTCAATCATATCCTTTGGCTAAAGGACCCAATTCCACTACAAGAGTATCGTTGGAAATGGGTATGGCGGCTACGTTGTTCTGAGAGGGTCAGGATGTTTGTTTGGCTACTATTGCGTAACAGAGTCCTTACTAATGCTGTCCGTTATGAGCGACATATCACTGTATCACCTTATTGTCCTCAATGTGATGATGTAATTGAAACTCCATTGCATCTCCTACGAGATTGTCCATTTGCAGTTCAGGTATGGAACAAAGTCGGCTTGGGGGGACAGGATTTTTTCCAATTGCCCTTAGCAAAATGGATAGAGAGTAACTCAAGAAAGCTAGCCCTGGTGCAAAATGGAGGTATGCCCACTGATATTCTTTTCCTCTCCACCATATGGCAATTATGGAAGTGTAGGAATAATATGATATTTAGAGCTGCTAATTTGCCAGCCCCTAAACTTTGTGATTTTATAAGTAGCTATGCACTTGATACTTATCAGGCAATGTCCAGCAACATATTTGTGCAAACAAAAGTCCCTATTTGGATAAGTTGGCACCCACCGGATCCACCTTTTTGCAAGTTGAATACGGATGGCTCTAGAATGCAGGAGACAGGGGGATTCTTCGGGAACCTTTATTCAAGGTTTCTCAGTGAACATGGGGCAAGTCTCAGTTTTCCTGGCAGACTTATGGGGTTGCAGGGAAGGACTGATTTTGTGTAGGAACAAAGGGATTAGTCATTTAGTCGTGGAGATGGATTCCTTGTCGGCGGTGCAGGTTATTGAAGGATCCAAGGAACAGGATAGCCTAGCAGCAGTGCTGGTGGAAGATATCCCTCGTTTGAGAGGAGGATTTATTGCCTTTAGCATACAGCACACCCTACGTGAAGGTAATCGTGCTGCAGACTTTATGGCTGAAATTGGGCATAATTTGCCTACTGGAACCACAGTTTTTGATTTGCCTCCACCTGGTCTCATCACTTTCCTGGAAGCGGACACGTTAGGCGTAGCATTCTTGCGTCATTAATTACTTAGCTTTATGTATCAAAAAAACAACACTGTGGAATAAAAAATATATCTCTGTATTTAACTGTTGGATTTTGACTTTTTCGGTTCTTCGTCTTTCTCCCATATATCATTTCCCTAACTTTCAATACTTCTATGCTAGCAAAAATAGAAGAACCAGCCACGTAACTTGGAAAAAAAAAAGGTACTTGGTTTGTATGAGAATTTCAGTTTTTTCGTCCTATTATTTGACAAAAACAAAAGTTAAACTTTGAATTCAATTGTTGCAGTTAGCAGTTTGCTGTTGTTATATGACTTTTATTTTGGCTGAATAATTTTCCTGAGGTTCATCTACCTTAACTCTGTATCAGTTTCTATCTTTTGATCCATCTTCTTTAGACAAAAATGGAAGAGCCGTTTACCTATCTTGCAAAAAAGAGGTACTTTATTCGTCTGAGAATTTCTTTTCTTTGAAAATCTCCATCCTTCTTTGCAACTGAATCTTTTTCTTTCTGTCATCTCAGGTATGCAGTAGTTACCGGGGCAAACAAGGGGATCGGATTTGAAATATGCAAGTGTTGGGATTAGGCCCAACGCCCTCTGAGAGCCGCATACAGTAGGCCCAACTACGTGCCCACAGGCCCAAGAGGAGGGGACATACCCACGTGGGCATCACCACGTGGGCCAATGAGAGGTTTACATGTGCAGATACATGTCAGCACTTGGGGCTATAAATACCCCCCAACCACCTCCAAAGAAGGTAATTAATCTCTACGCTTCTCTCTCTGCAATCACTCCTTGAGAGCCTCTCTCTCTAAAGTATTGAGTATTGCTGACTTGAGCGTTGGAGTGTTTTCCCC